GATCGTGCAGTGAAGCTGAAGTACATGTTATTCTATAACTTCAAACCCTAAAGTACTTGTGTATTTTTGTTTATTTTCTAAAAGGGCCAATATTAAAGGCACTTTTCATGTAAATCATGATAAATTACAGTAGAGAGCAAAGGTCCTATTAGCATTGGCTACAAAATATACAAAAATTCATTGCGTAAGAATAAGGGAAAGGAAACAGACTGCTTTATTTTACTCCAGTAAAGCGGGTAGAAGCGAATAATATTCTTCAGTTAACCGATTTTGTAGTCTGGCTTGTGCCATTTCAGAATTTATTATGAACACATGAATCCTATATTTAATAACATCCCTTGGGCGGAAAACTCTGTGTTCAGATGACTCAGGATACGGTCTTTATGAACACGGTTATGAACTTTGGGGTTCCATTAAACGCGGAAAATTTCTTGACCAACTGGACCACTTTCACCTTCTCAAGGACACGGCAGTATGGACTTAGTTTAATTTCCCTTTTTCTTACTGAATTCTTGCTTTGATAAGTATGTTTAAAAATTATTGAAATGTAACGATATTAAAGAAACATTTCCATATGCAAAATTATTGTGATGGTATGTTGAAGACGGTGGATGGAATCGTAATATGGCAACTTCAAAAGAAGTGGATTGCTGTAGGATCTACTATGTACAAATATCATTGGCTCCATTAGATTGAAGATACCAGATTACATAGAGAATAAATGACTGACTTGTTTCGTGCAGACCGTCTGGATGTACATTACAGTTCTTGTGAGACTAAGGCACTGAGCATTTACTTTACCTTTTTCATGCTATGGCATGGGCGTTCTTGTGATTTTAACATCTCAAAGGTACTTATGAATGCGATTCTAACCTCTAAGAAAATATACCAAATTTCAGATACGAATGTACTTCAGTAATCGGAAAGTTTCTTACTTATTACGAGAACCAATGAAACCCAAGAACAGAATCTGTGAAAGACATGCAGAGATATAAATGCAAATGCAGGTGGTATACATAATTACCACTGACATATAAACGGTTATATGTCAGTTTATTTCGAGTGTGCAATTTCCTTGTTGTCTGTTGCCATTTTAAACTAACCATTACGTAACTTAACAATAAACTGAATTTCTAAGTTGCCATGGAAACAAAAATAAGGCGTATTTCTAACAGAAATTCTGATCAAACGTTGTGAAAGCACAAATTTTGCAATAAAAATGCGACCCCACAGATGGAGACTCACTAAAAGTTTTGGATTAGATCGAAATTGAAGGGAACATGATGCTTCTGGCGTTAAGTAAAATTTGTTCTAATTCTGATCTCTGAATAACTGTTTTCAATGTCTAAGAAACGTGTCCGTCTTTAATAAACTTATTAATGAAGTTAAATGAAATTTTGTCTCTCTTCTGATGGAATGTGAGTTGTTAATGACATCGATTATTGCGTTGGTAATGAAACTTTGGGTTCTGTAAAGGGCGCAGAATTTATAATTAACTAATTAAGCGGCTATTAGCATCTCAGGGATTCTGTTCTATCGGGTGTTACGTTAGTCTCAGGTTTTAAAAATACACACACAATCTACTTACGGCGTACGAGACTGGAAAGGAGTACTCTTTGGAGTACACACTCATTCCAAATTTTATTGTATCACATCATTGTTGCTATAATGACCCAAGGTCAATATTGTGTAATAATCTAACTTTGCATCTCGTTGTTAAGCAACAATTATACATGATAATGCGGGTTGCTTACCCCTAGGAAAACCGCGACAGACAGACAGACAGACAGATCCTTCAGGTATTCTCACTACAGAGCTTGAAGAGCTAAGAACAGCAATGCACTGGTAACAAGCTTACGTGTGCGTAGACAGTTTTAAATGAAATATGCAATGACTGTACTATTGAATTCAGTTTTGAAAGATATGTTTCATTTTGATTACAATGGTCGCCGAAATAAACATTCTGGGTTAGGATTAAGGATTAATACGAATCCGGGAAAACTGTCTTGCTCAAAGCAGTCAGTTGCTTCGCCAGTCTCACAAGACACTCATTCTGTATGCTGCGGTCGAAGGCGAATTTTCAGTGGCGCGAGAATGCAGTACTTGTTTCTTGACAGCCTGTAGCAGGAAGTTCGTGAATTCTGGTCACGGACACCGCGTATTACGGGTCTCAGGACGAGCCCGGAGTCAGACTGAGCGAGCGCTCTGCACCCAG